ACAGACAGATGACGGATGAGATGAATTAAAGTCTAAATATCCAATATTAGAATGCGTTGGTTTTTTATGAACGCTAGTGTGTAGTTTACCTTCTTCTATTCGTTTTATAAATGAAAGAAACAAAGTTGTGTGAGTGACTTGATATGATCATGAGTGGTAATAGTTTGTGCTCGAAACGTGGTCATCAGTTAATATTACTGTATAACAAATACTGTGTGTGATTTATCAAAATAAAATCTTATCCATAATGAAGTTAAGTAACGGCTGATTCAACTTTAATGGAAGTCGGCGATCAACAAGTTATCTTAACCAAACATAAAAGCTTAGCAATGAAACAGTTCACCATGGAGAACTTAACACCTGGGGAAAACAAACACCTGATTAAAGTATCTTTAACATTCTTCAAATATTTCCACTTTATTTCTCCTTTTAAATGCTCATTTGTAAATCGAAAAGATCAATATTGTGTTCCCTGTAAACATTCCTGAATGATGAGTGTTCAAATGTCTAAAACAAAATTGGAATCACAATAGACAGAAAAAATATACTCTAGTAAAGGCAAAAGTTTGTACAGAATAAGATGGTACCATCATCACTTACTTCGTTGACTTCACATCAGCTGCTTATAGCCTTAATGAATTATTAAGTTTACGTACAGAAGGAATTTTAACACACTTGGAATTTTCATCTAATGTCAGTTGACAGAGAGTTCCAGTTTAAACAAAACATCAATGTATGCAAACAGGGGTCAACAAAAACGAGAGATGAGTAAGATGAGGAGTAACTAAAAGCCTGAGTAACAATATACTGAGTTCAACTTAAACCATAGAAACAAAACACAAGCAAAGTTACACTGTATGAAAAAGGGAGGAGGGTGAGGTTGAAGCTAAACACTACGTAATCGAATAAAAGAGAGAATAAAGACATTCAATTACCAGGACAAGGAGAGACTGATAACTGCTTCTTTCTGAACACAGAAATCGGCTTTCAGGCGTTCGATAGAGACTGCTTCGGCAAACCTGAGTGGAACTGAGCTATTTTGTCGATCGGTAATTTTAATGGATTTAGCGATTTCCACCCCATGACCCGTATAAAGCAGATGTCTGGAGACGGCACTATAGAAAGCGTTTTTTCCCTTGAGACGTAGACTTTTCGATAAGTGTTCAGGAAGTCGGAGGTGTGTCCCTCCTTCTGTTCTCCCAATGTAACTGCTCCAGCACGTAAACGTAAATTTGTATATGCAGTTAGAGTTAACATGAGTAGGGTATCTGTCTACTTTTGATTGCATCAATGAGCATACTGTCCGACAGACGAGAACCAGCTTAACTTCAGGAAAGACCGAGGCTAGTGAGATGTTCAATCTCCAATGGTCACAGCTGTAGAATTTCTGAATTATAATATAATAATAATAAAGCTTTATTTCAGACAATATATGAACACATAGTTTAGAAATTTTCAGCGTATTTATCTCCAAAATATTTCCTCTTCCTCCGGGATTTACACGTAAAATAATTATCTGAAGTATATAATGTGAAGTAGCGTAGTTTCATATGATTGTTATTTTATTATAATTATTCCCATGCCTTCCCAGTGGAACATAGGGCTGGCTTCAACAACACATCTACACTTTGTTCTGTTCTCTGCCATCCTCTTCAACTGGCCCAACGATTGACCAAACTTTCTCATCTTTTCCTCGCCACACAATCTCCTCCATGTCACCTTCACATCGACGACCCAATCGTCGCTTCCCAAGTGGATCCCACCCGAGCGATGGCCTGCATTGCGCGCTATTTCATTCAGCGGCTTCCTCAATGTATGCCCGATCCATCCATCTCCACTTTCTCATACATATTTGTTGAGCGATCGGCTCTCGCCTGTTGGTTTGTTCCACTGCAGACTTCCTTGTTGCTTATTCGTTCTAACCAGTCGGCCATGTGATCTTCAGTATGGAGCCAGCCAGCGAAGTGGGCAGCTGTTGATGAAAGTTTGCAGTGGAAGTCGGTGGCATAGCGGTTAGGACGCTCGCCAACCATGCACATGGTCCGGGGTTCGATCCCCGGCCGACGCACTGCTTTACCTCGCTAAGCCAGAAATAAAAGCTGGTAAAGAGGAAAGGTTGGGCATGAGGCTAGCAACCCCATCCTGTAAAAATAAACACTCCTACAGAAACTTCAAGCCTCTAGCTTGAAGCCTTATGTTCCACTGGGGAACGTGAAGGAATAAAAAAAGTGAAAGTTTCTGATCCTTATAGAAGAACTGACCGACTGACTTGACATTGGTGTTGAAAAGCCAAATCTTGTTCCTTATGTTTAGGTTGAGTGCAGAAGATTTCCAAGCTGGATTTAGGTTGATGAAGGCGTATCTTGCATTTCCGATTTTGACTGGCTATGACATCTCCTTCCGTTCTGTGTGCTTGTAGTTGGAACGATGCTCCCCAGATAAGTGAAGGGGGCAAAATCTGTTAAAGCCATCTCACTGATGGTGATTTGTGCTGGTAGTTGTTGCTGTTGATTGGTTATCTTCATCACCTTTGTCTTCTCTGTGTCCACTTGAATTCCTGTCTTCGCTGTCTTCTTCTTCAACCACTTTGTTGGTTTTCACCTATAAGTCTTGGAGTTTGTGTGACATTCAACATAAATCATCCACCCGCGAAATACAGATGGTGGAAACACTGATTCCGGTGTCTGGGACATATGCAAGGAATGTCATCCCTGAGGCTTCCGTACAGGTCTCTTTTCGCAAGCCCTGGGACGGGATGGAAAATGTGGAGAGGTGGTCAGCCCATGACGTGAAGTCGTAGGATGAAGAATATTTGCGATGGGTTAGAATCGGTTGGTGCGTCACGACTCCCTGATTGGGGTCCGCGAAATAGCTTGACTCGATGGCTCAAAACGTTATCGGATATGGCCAAGAATCGTAATCAATGGCGGACGTGTTGTAATTTCCTTCTTTCTTCCCTTCTCGATGACAGTTGACAAATACTGTTTGAACTCTTTAAGTCTGATTGTTTTCCTTCCAGATGAAGTTCTTTATCCGTTCTCTACTTATATTTTTTACTTTCAATCCATGTTGTTTTATTTTTATTGTGTGGCGCATCTTTCTTGGTGCCATATTGTGCCAAGTGTTTTTCTGCGTTTAAAGAAATAGATAATCAAAGAGAATAGCACTGATTTTACAGAAACTAATATGCACCTAAAGAATATCATCCAACGTTCAATTAATAATGGAATCTTGAAACACTTAAAGATATCTTTAAAACTTATTGGGAAACTACTGCTTATATTAGGATACAGATATATCCAGATGACGATTCCCCAACAGGATGAAATGTGTGTTCTCAATTTTCCTGTTATTTACCCTGTCAACCAAATAATAATATATTAACAACAGTAATATTCATGCATTTGTTTTGAGCTTTATCTTCTGTACAACAAAACACCGAAATGATGAAATGAAACAGATAGAAGAAGAAGCGTTGGTGTTAAATAACTAAACTGAATAATTCATTAAGAAGACCATAAAAAGCTCAAAAGCTAAACAAAAATAATAGTGAAACTAATAATGATAACATATATAAGAAAGAATATAAGGCGTCTATAGTTTTACCATGTAAGGAGGGGACATCTGAGGCCCTCCCTGAGGAGGATTCTTAATAAAACAGAAATTAGGGCAGTATTAAAACCCACAAATTCACTCAGGTAGGACAAACTCTGTAGGTTGAAGGTCCCTGTCGGTTGACCCAGTTAGACAAAATAATATAACTGACAAAATACCTTGCAGTGACTGTGAGTTAAGTCAACTACATAGGTGAAACTAGTAGGTTGGGGGTAATCAGATTGTCGGAACACAAGAATTTAGCTAAGGTAAGAATGGTTGACCCCACAAGAGAAGATTAGTAACTTAGAGAAAAACTCAGCACTGCATTGCACTGCATGCATTAACTCACAACCACGCAGTAGAGTGAGAGAGGCTTAAAATTCTAAGAAGTAATCTATGTAGGTGGAGAGAGTGATTGATTACTGAATCCTGCCTGATTCATCGAGTCTACACCCAATACAACACATGCAACAGAAATGACTCAATGCAACTATCAGAGATATGGAAGATATTATTATCACCAGTCAGTCAAATCAGAGGAGGATAATAAACAATCTTAAAATTCTATATCAATTCACGTACATCATAACATTCTAACAAGTTACTTATTTTACCCATCTGATTGTATTTGATCAATAACACTCATATTTTTATTTCTGCACGTACATTATCCTATATTGATTTTATTCAAATGTCTTATCATCAACTTTTACTAATGTATATAAATGAAGCAAGAAACTTGTGTGAATGACTTGATATGGTTATGAGTGGCAATAGTTTGTGCTCGAAACGTCATCAGTTAATATTACTTTTTTTTTGGATTTACAGCTTGATTTCCACACCGTATTTTCAGTACAAGTGTGGAACTTTCAGCATGGATATCGGTTGCCCAAATTCAGGCATACCATAGATATCGGGTGTGCGCCGGCAGGGGTTCGAACCCCGGACCATGTGCATGGTCGGCGAGAGTCCTAACCACTGTGCCACCGACGCACAATATTACTTACTGTATAACAAACACTGTGTGACAGTTTGTAACGACAGAAGGCAAGAGTCAGGCAACAGATCATTTATTAAGGAAATCAACGCATATTTATATATTTCCTGTACATCACTATGGATATGTACACAAACAAACACAGTCTTCCGATTGGTTGTTTCTCACGACAAATCTTGGGAACGCAAATATTGACGTAAATTACTGTCTACCAATTTGGCTAGTAGACAGCTCTCACCAGAAGTTTATCAAAATAAACTCTTATCCATAATGGAGTTTAACTCTATCACACTGCTCAAGGTTTATACTTATGTCAATAATTCCCCTGCATATTTTGTAAATTAAACTAAAAAATAATAATATTCTTTTGTTTTTTCCCTCAATCGTTTTTTTTCTTTTTCAAAAGAATTACAGATAGTAATACACTCATAATTTCTTGTTCAACCTATTTCAATGATGATGATGCTGTGCTCAAATGGCAACGTGATAAAAATGATGTGAGTATGAATGAATTCAATCGATAATTAGTTGATTAGTATTGATTTTCTTTTGTCTAATTCATTAATTTACTTTGCCTCAGTAATAAGATTATTGTACACATTTGATCATAGGGAATAATAAAAAGACAGTTGCAGCGAAGAAAATTTTCTTTTCGACGAAATCATCAACTAGACAGCTGTACATTCGTGTATTCATAATAAATGGGTGGGAAAGTTCCAGAATAATTTCTGGTCAAGGGTCAGATTAATAAAATTACAATTAGAAGTTAAAATGCCATAATAAACAGGGTGAAGCTTACGGAATCCTTCGAAGTGAGGACAGGAGTAAGATAAGCTGGCTGCCTACTATCGCCAATGATTTTCCTGATCGCAGTAGACTAGATAATGCGACAAACAGTGGGCAATGAGGAAACAGGCATACAATGGACTCACACAGAAAACTTGGAGGATCTGGACTTCGCCGATGATGTATGTCTGATTTCCCACAAACTGGAAGATATGCAAGTGAAAAGCAACAAGTTGGCAGAAGAAGCATCAAAGATAGGACATCTTTCAGGTGAACACAGAGAAAACGGAGGTGATGAAAATTCCTGGCCAACACCAACAGCCACAGCAACAACAACAGACAGCAATCAGCATAAATGGAAGGAGCCTGAAAGAAACTACCTCCTTTACCTAATTGGGAAGCATTGTTTCAACTACAGGAGAACGGAACTGACGAGGATATCAAAGCAAGAATCGGGAAAGCAAGACAACCTTTCACTACTCTCAAGTCTGTGTGGAGGTCAACAGCACTGCTCAGCATCAAAAATAAGATCCAGATTTTCATCTTCAATGTGAAGTCAGTGTTACTCACTATACGGATCAGAGACTTGGCCAGCGCGTCATAAACAGCACCTCAAACAGACTACAGACCTTCATTAACAGTTGTCTTCGCTCAATACTCAAGATCAGATGGCCGGCCAGAAAACATCAGCAGCAGTGAGGGATCTCTGGTAATGAGCGAAACAACCAGGAACCGATTGTGAAACAAATAGGCAAGAAGAAATGGAGATGGATTGGCTGGCCATACTCTGAGGAAACCAACCATCAAGTGACATCACTAGACAAGCCATTGCTCTAGTGGAACCCGAAAGGGAAGCGGCGAGTTGGTCGTCAGTGCAAGGGGATGAAGACGTGTGGGCAGACGTGGAGCCAGGTGAAGACTCTAGCAGAGAACCGAATGCAATGGAGACGCACAGCTGAAGCCCTAGGTTCCTCTAGGAATTAAGGGAAACAATAATAATAATAAACAGGGGGATGGATAAAACTAAAACACTATCCAGCCTGGCTGATAAAAAAAGAACGAAAACTTGTATATACTTCAGTGACAGAACATCTGGTCAATTCGGAACATTCAGCGCCATTCGAAAAATCCTTCAAAATAATACACAAGATTCCATCAGACCTATCAAAGGGAATTAAGACATCTGGGCATAGCCAAGGCACTAGCCATCCAAAAGCTCAAACCCAAGCTATGTGTTCAAAAGAAATACTTTCAACCCTTGTCCCTGCCGTAGCCATAATAAACAGGTAATTCTTCTAATAGTGACTATCCCATTGACTTTCTTAGCCAAACTTCCTGTTTATTCATGTTATTTTTGAGTTTTTCTTAATCCCTATTTACACTACCATATTTTCATATCCGAACTTCCTGTATATTTTGTCATTTTATTATTTCTACATTTATAACCCCTAGTTGCACAATTTGTCAATCTCCTCAGTAATTACGATACTACTTTGTTTGAGTTCTATCCGTCCCTGTGTTTATTATGGCATTTTAATTTCTAATTGTAATTATATTAATCTGACCCTTGACCGGAAATTATTCTGGAACTTTCCTACCCATTTATTATAAATAACGAATGTACAGCTGTCCAGTTGATGATTTCATCGAAAAGAAAATTTTCTTCGCTGCAACTGTCTTTTTAATAAGATTGTATTACAAGGTGATTAGTTGATGTTCACATTTAAAGTAAGTTATAAAATTCACTTCATTTTAAGACGGATGACATCACCTACGAACATGTGTAAGACAGATTAACCACACGTGTTGGAGACTCTAGCAATGTACACGCATACACACACACACACTAAAAACACAGGAAACAGTCATCAGTTTATATGGTTACCATTCAATTATGACATTAAAAGCTATTTTACTGAATACCTTGTTTGGAACAAAATAAAAGTAATAATCGTGCTAGTTGGCACTCATCAGTCAGCAAGGCATATATGAAACCTCGAAGGAACTCATGTCTGTTCTGAGAGTCGAACCCGCGTTGTCACCCAGTGATGCAGTCGGATACAAACACGTTACCACTGAGCTATTCAAAATCGCTATTGACCTCCTGTAGTACTGTATTGGATATTTTTGATTGAACACTAGTCAGTAACTAGTGTAATGTGTCTAGTCTTATCTTTGGTGCAGACGGAATTGTATCAGTCAAGCTTGCAATGTGGCCACCATGCCACTAGGTGGCTCGCCATCACGGTGCACTCGAATCTCAGAAGAGACATGGCTTCCTTCGAGGTTGCAGATACGCCTTGCTGACTCACGAGTGCCAACTAGACCGAAATCTAGGTCGAACAAGGCTTCCTATGGCCAATTGCCTCCAACCGTCTAATACCAACAATTCACAGTGCACCATAATGGCGAGCCACCTAGTGGCATGGTGGCCACATTGCAATCTTGACTGGTAGAATTCAGTCTGCACCAAAACAGACAGCTAGACACATTACACTACTTACTGACTAGTGTTCAATCAGAAATATCCAATCCAGTCTTACAGGAGGTCGATTGAGAATAAAAGATATCTGCCTTTTTTAACCTGCTGGTTTCTCTATAAACTGCTATACTAAAGAAATAAGCATATATATAATTTATATTATTTTTCAGTCATCTGTTTGGACAAATGAACCAATCTATGTATTCGATCGTGAGAGTCGTTCCCTTCGACTGCCAGCTTACATGCGTAACAGTCTTTGCCTACAAATGCATGGAAAGAAGTCAATTGTTATGAATAGACCGCCTGTAGTCAGTACATAAACTTCAACCCACGTATTTTCGAGTTGTTGTTGTGTTGTTGTTGATGTTGTTTTTTTTAAATTTTTTATATTTTTTGTAATTTTCCACTAAGTGAGTGAGTGAATGGATGATGCTTGTTCAAATACTTTTTAAACAGCTTATTTTTTATCTTTGTTTATTTATTTATTGCCTAACAAAAACAAACTTTTTTTAATTATTCACCTAATGAAAATGTAACAAACAACACAATTCAGATTCAAAATTTATGTTCATTGTTAAATTTTCTCCGCCTCCAAAAAAATACGCACACACACACACACACACTTACACACACGCACACATGCATTCATACATACATACACGAGTTTACTTACCTGAGCTTAACTCCATCAAATGAGACTCCAAGTTAACTCTTTTTGATTTCTCGAATAAATCTGTATATACCCATGCTCATAAAGATATATCTTATATAAATCCATATTTATTGTCCAAAATCAGTCCGTATTTACATACAAATATGCAGTCCGTGATCAATAAACACTGGTGCATATATATATCTACATATAGACCCCTGCACATGCATCATACATTGTGAACAAGATTCCCGGTTGCACAATCGTCAGTTGTTCTTGTTTTTTTTCTATTGTTGTGTTGTCTTTCTCTGCTCATCACTTTCTATCCAATCTGTTGTTTTTGTTTTTGTTTTTTTACCATGAATAATGTGCTGTGAATGTTCTCCTTTTCTAAATACCACGACTTATAATAATAATGATAAGATATGATGTGGGGAATAAAATTACCTAATGCATAATTATTGTTTTCTATGAGACTATTTGATATTACCGATTGATTGGTGATGCACAATGAGGTGAGCAATATTGAGGTTAGGCGTCGAGTGCTAGGTAAGCGTTGAGGGGAAATCAGTCGACGAGACTGTGAAATTATATCGACTGAGATGGTTAGGATATGTGTTACACATGCATGCCTAGTCATCGCCTTGCTCGACGGGAAATGTTAGCTGATATAGGGTCAGGCTGGAAAAGAGCTAGTGGCGGTCAAACGAAAACATGGCACTAGTCAATGAAATCTACAACAGTTAGTCTAAGCCAGCCATGTAGGAAGGTGTAGACTTCCTGGTTGGAGTCCTCAGGATGGTAAAAACCAATGGTTGGAAACAATTGGTAACATGGCTCAAAATCGTTCTCAGTGGCTGGTGCAGATGCATCCACTCCTTGTGACTTATGATTTCCAATGAAACTGTTTTGTTCTTCGTTATTACTATTCCTTTGTCTCACACCTCTGTTTACTGTCTATATTATGCATTTCTCCTACTTTCTTCTCTTGCTTTGTGTGCTACATGTGGGGAGTGTGGCGACTTGAACTGCCGTACATATGTGCAAAGTTCTATGTCGAAAACAAACAGACAGACAGATGCGTAATGATTGAAAGTGAAATGAAAGGCTAAATCATGACAGTCATCGATTCAATAATCTGTGCGTTGAATCGAGGACATATTTCCCAAATATTGCCTATTCTTTTTTTTACAATATATAACCAATATCCAATTTCATGGGTGAGTAAGAACTGTATAAACGACTTTTGAGTAGTGGTTTGCAGAGATTTCATTAGTTTCAGGATTTCATCGCGATGTGACATCAGTTAGAGAACTGAACTGAAAATATTTAATTCCCGATATACGAATTTAAGACAAGCAACAAAGGTCAATAAAGCAGGATGATTTAATGAATTCATCAAATTTCGGTAGAACTCCTCTTCATCCGAATACTCTACATACACGGATTTATATGTACTATCGAAATTACATTGGGAGATATAAGACTGATGAGCAAATAAACTACATTGAATTAGTCATGCAGAAAGACAGGTGAGAATGTTTTTCCAGGTCATGTTGTAATAGATAAGGGGAGAGGAAGGATGAGAGAGATTAAAATTATGCGAGTAGACAATCGCCTTTCTGGACAACTTGAGTATTAACTTCCACAAAAACCCAGGTCAAATTGTTATACTCAGTTTGAAGTGTCGAGGATTGGCGACTGGTCTTTCCCAGATTGTTGAAGTGCACACTTCGTGGTGTTAAGGAAAACAAGTGTTGCAGCGTAATAAGTTCTCTTGATAGCTTTATCGAGTCTTCGTTTGACTACTTCTTGTGCATCATCTCCTTTGAATAGCTAACTGATATAGACAGATTTCTTCAGAACTGTTTGGATAGTTTTGCAAGGGCTAATGTCTTTAGAGTGTTTATTAATGAACTTCTCAGGATATCCATTCTTAGATAAAATATCCTTCGGGGCTTATATTTCATGCTCAATAGTACTGTCAGAACAAATTTTTGGTGCTCTATTGAACAGTGTTCTGACTAATTTCTTTTTATACTGGATTGGAACAAAGCTCTTGAAATGCGTGTACTGTCCTGTCCAACAAGACTTTCTGAATGTAGATCTTTCGATTGTGCTATCAGTTTCTTTTCACTAGGAAAACGTCTAGGAATTAAATAGTAGTAAGATTTTCTTCGTGTGGCATGAGTTGAATTTTATCAACATTTCTTCAGCTTTTGATATGCTTCCACAGACAACAGAAATTTCATCAACATGTCTTAGGTATACATCCGTATTTTGTATATGTTGTTGCAAGGTACCAGCATCTAGGCCTGACAAAAATAAGTCTGCAAAAAGTGGTCCGAGGGGGTTCCTAATTGCGACACCATCAATTTGACTGAATAGACGCCCGTTGAATTGGAACTGGACATTCTTGGTACATAAAAGTAGCAATTATTTCAATTCCGATGTTGGAATGTGTATGTCTTCAGCTTCTCTACATGATTGAAGCGTAATGCATTTCATCTTAATTTCAATCTCTCCCATACTCCCTCTCCCCTTATCTATTACAACATGACCTGGAAAACATTCTCACCTGTCTTTCAGTATGAGTAATTCAATGTAGTTTATTTGCTTATCAGTCTTATATCTCCAAATATAATTTCAATAGTGTGCATATATCTGTGTATGTAGAGTATTCAGGTTAAGAGGAGCTCTACCGAAATTTGATGAATTCATTAAATCATCCTGCTTTCTTAACCTTTGTTGCTTGTTTTAAAGTCAGGTAACCATTGGAAATCCATCAGGGGGTACTTCACAGCTGTTCTGTTAGCCTAGGTTGGTACTCTTCAGAAGTACACACCCACCGGGGTTGAAATCGAGGACCTTCCAAATACAAGGCGGACTCTTAAACCATTAATAACCTTTTTATTTTGAGTATTTAGGGAGGTCTTCAATTAATGTGACATCGATTTAGCTACATTTTAGATCTGCGTCATGAAAAATACTTATTTTAATTGTGAAGACATTAGCAATCCAAGGGATAAAACATCATTTGAAATGAATATTTGGCATGGTGAATAGACTCAGTAACCTTTTTGTCTTCATTTACAATCTAAGTTTAATGAGTCTGAGTTAAACTGGGGTGTTTTTCAGAATACAAAAACAATCCATTGGCTGACACCGATAATAATAATAATAACAGCTTTCAAGTGTTGGTTTGTAGGGATTTGATTGGTTACAGGATTTTCATCATGAGCTGACATTAGTTAGAGAACCACTGGGTTCGAATCCCGGTGGGTGCGTACTGATGAAGAGTCCAAAACTGGGACGAAACAGCTGTCCAGTACTCCCAGGTTTTCCAATGGTTCTCTAAGTAATGTCAGCTCATGATGAAAATCCAATAACAGCTTTGTTCTAAACAATATGTTAGCATTATGTATTTATTAGCTAAATAACGTTACACTATACCAAAAAGGGGTTAGGGAGAGGTTGAAGCCACAGAATGAGCAATCAGATGGAGGAGAAAATAAAGACATACAATTACTAGGACAAGGGGAAAGGCTCATAACTGCTTATTTCTGAACACATAAATCGGGCCTTCAGATGTCTGATAGAGATTGCCTTGACGAAATTGAGGAGAATTGAACCATTTTTTCTACCGATGATTTTAAAGGATTTTGCGATGTCCACCTCATGACGCGTATTGAGACGTAGGCTTTCCGGTACGTGTTCAGAAAATCGGAGGTGTATCCCTCCTCCTGTTCTTCGAATGTAATCGCTCCCACAAATACATGCAGATTTGTATACGCATTTGGAGTTAACACAAGAAGGGAATCTGTCTGGTTTTGATTGCATGAAAGAGGGACGGGGAGCAACTTAGCTGCAGGATAGACTGGTGAATGGCCAGTAAAGTGTTCAGTTTTCTATTGATTATTGTTGCAACATATTTTCACCTTAAGGATTTAGTTGAATGAAGACAGGTTTTTTCCCCAGTGTGATTTCTTTGACATTTAGAGCTTCACAGCTCCGAGACTTGTTAACGAATCTCTGTGGTTGGCTGCTGTTTTTCAAAATCATAAATTCTTCTTCTAAATTCTCTGAAGAGCATATTCTCATGACTATAATGAATAGAGTTTTTTACTACTGCTCGTTTATAACTGTTTAAGCAGCTGATGAGAAGCCAAAAAAATAAATGATTATACCATCTTATTCTGTACAAACTGTTGTTCCTGCTATATTCAAATATGTTAACAAATAGTAGAGAATATTCAGCAGGTTTAAATTCCAAAATATCTCCTTTTCCTACACGATCTTCAAATAAATTGAGAAGACTGAAAAAACAACAACAAGGTTTTATCTCACAGAGTCAGTATACATCACTGAAAACCACTGGAACGTTCACACGAAGATTATATGGTTCGCCTAAAGTGCACAAAAATGGTGTTCCGCTTCGACCAGTGCTCTAGATATGTTAAATTCACCATATCATCCCGTAGCCGAATGGTTAGTCGAACTCTTACAGCCTCTACATACTGAGGTGGTGAAACACAGTGTAAAGGATTTGTTGAAAGGATAAAAGATGTAAATGTTGACAATAAATTCATGATATCATTTGAAGTGTTTTCCTTATTTACCAATGTACCACTTATGGTAACAGTGGACTTTGTATGCGAAGAACTCATAAGACGAGACATCGATGTTGGCATTCCTATATCATTTATAAAAGAGCTTCTCTTGAAATGTACAATGAATGTCCTCTTTTTATTTAATAAGGAACTATATCGACAAATCCGTGGTGTGGCAATGGGGTCACCATTAGGATGCATTCTAGCCGACATTTTCCTTGCGAAACTAGAAAATGGGCCTTTGAAGGTTGTTACTGATGAACTTGAATGGTATTGTCGGTACATGGATGATACATTTTTGATTATGAAAAATGAGGAGGAAGCAAAAAACATCCTGGATAAATTTAACGAGGTTCATCCTGAAATAAATATTACTATTGAGAAGGAAAAGACTCCAGTATTTCATTTCTAGACACCTTTATGACCAGAAAAGAGGATGGCACAATAAGAAGAAGTTTATACAGAAAACCTACATCAACAGGTCAGTATACTCATTTTTTCAGCTTCGTGCCCTTAAAATATAAACGCAGTCTGATAAAGTGCTTGGTTCACAGAGCAATCTGCTCAGATGAATGTCTTGATGAGAAACTTAATAATATTAAACGGTTGCTGAGTGAAAATGGTTATCCTGAAAAGTTTATTGATAAGAATATGAATCTAAAATCAAAGCAGCCCAAGGTACCAACAGTTCCTTAAAAGGCTTTATTCTTACAAATCCAATTCCTTGGGGACAACATTAGCGAGATGCTAACACATCGCCTTAGAAATGCGGTAGAAAGAGCATTCACTGCTGCCGAATTACGCCGTATCTTCAAAACCGCCCACTCCTCCTATATGTTCGAGAGTAAAAGACAAACTGACTAATTTCGCCTCTTTCATGTGTATCTACCAATTTAACTGCTCCTGTGAAGTGAGCCAGTCAGTTGCATAGGCCGTACAATTAGGCGTGTTTCTCGTCGGATTTCCGAGAATCATCCTGGTTAAGTAAAGGACAAACAAAATCCATTCACTTAGCGCTATTCTATCTCATCTTGTGGATACAGAACACAAGATTGATGTTAACGAGGCTTACGAAGTTACTAACCACATCCAAACAAATCTTAACTTCACCTTAAGAGTTCGTCTACTAAATATTACTGAGACCGTTAGGATCCACATTAGGAAGCCTAATTTCTGTGTCTGAAAGAAGCTGGTTCAGACATTGTCCTTATCTTGGCTATCTAGGTTTGAATGACCTTCAATTTGTTGTGGTAATTTCCTTAATTTTAATTGATATTCTATTTGCTATTATATCTATATTATTATTATAGTTTAAGCATCTTTAATGAACTGTAATTTGATTGTTGTCTTACTTAACAAATCTATATTATTTAGAAAATACCAATATTGATATTGACTACTATTCTAGAATATTCTATGTATATAAACATGCATATATAATTGTAGAGCCAGAAGAGGAGGAAATTGTCGAAAAAGATACACTTTGCTACATTATTTTGTGTTTTATAGATATCTGAATGAATATTTTCGTTATTATTAAGTGCTTTTTTTTAAAAAAAGAATTACTAAAATTCAGCATAAATATATATTTATCCTATTGGTTACATGCGCACAGAAGTAAAAGTTAAAACAAAATAAGCATTTGAAATATAATGAAATCGTACTATTATTACTATTACTATTATTATTATATAGACACAATTCATTATTTCTTCGTTTCTTTACTCTGATATCCCCGTTTTCAGTAAATATTCAGCCTAATTATTTTTATAACAGACAAAATAGAAATAATAAAGACGCCGGATTTTAATTCTTAAAGAAAATCATTTGAATAAAACAACATTGAAAATTGAACACATACCAAACATTGAACAAAAGCCTTTTAATGCGAAATGATCTTAAAAAACAATTAATTCCCTTTATGAATTTAGGCGAAGCAATAAGAAGACACAATCAATCAAATCCCTACAAACCAATACTTGAATATCGATGAGATGCTCACCAGCGACTGGCTCTATTTGGGTAGGGTTCTAGTGGAAACTCGTCGATCGAGAGGTGCTTTGGCAACTACTTCGCTACCACGGGATGCCACCGACAATTATACATCTCATCCAACAGCTGTACGACAATGCTGCATGCCAAGTAATCCAAAAAGGGAAACTCACGGAATCGTTCTAAGTGAGGATGGAAGTAAGACAAGGCTGCCTACTATCGCCAATGATTTTCCTGATTGAGGGTGAGAGACTAGATAATGCGACAGACAGACAGTGGGCAACGAAGAGACAGGCATAAAATGGACCCACACAAAACACTTGGGGAATCTGGACTTCGCCGATTATATATTTATGTCTGATTTCCCACAAACTAGAAGATATGCAAGTGAAAAGCAACAAGTTGACAGGAGAATCATCAAAGACAGGGCTTCCTTCAAATGAACTAAGAGAAAACAGAGGTGATGAAGATTCCTGGGCAACATCACCAACAGCAACAACAACAGACAACAATCAGCATAAATGGAAGGAACCTGAAAGAAACAACCTCTTTTACCTATCCACCTGGGAAGCATCATTTCAACTACAGGTGGATGGAACTGACGAGGATATCAAAGCAAGGATCGGAAAAGCAAGACAAGCTTTCATTTCTCTCAAGTCTGTATGGAGGTCAACAGCACTCAACATCAAAAGTGAGATCCGGATTTTCAACTCTAATGTGAAGTCAGTGCTACTTAACATACGGATCAGCAACTTGTACTGCGCGTCATAAAGAGCACCTCAAACAAACTACAGACCTTCATTAACAGTTGTCTTCCCTCAATACTTCGCTCAAGATTAGATGGCCAGCCAGCCAGAAAAGATCAGCAACAGAGATCTCTGGCAATGAGCGAACCAACACAGCAGGAACCGATTGTGAAACAAATAGGCAGGAAGAAATAAGGATGGATTAGGCATACTCTGAGGAAACAATCCATCAAGTGACATCACTAGACAAGCCATCGCTCCAGTGGAACCTGAAAGGGAAGCGGCGAGTCGGTCGTCAGTGCAAGGGTGACTTGGAGGAGGTCATGTGAAGAGGAGATGAAAACGTTTCGGCAGACATGGAGCCAGATGAAGACTCTAGCAGAGAACCGAACGCAATGGAGACGCACGGCTGAAGCCCTATGTTCCTCTAGGAATTAAAGGAAACAATAATAATAATACAGTGATACATCATTCCCAAATGACAAATAAATTCACCTATCTATCTACCAAAGTATCCAAGTTTGATTGTAACATTACGGATATCATTATTTTTTTTGAAACAATATTTTTTCATTTCTGTTACTATGGTGATTTGAGGTGTTTGAAGTTAGTCTGAAAATTACAACTGTGTCTAGCTCCATGGAAATTTGAAAATGTAGGATACACCAAAAAGCATATGAATGTAAAGTATGATTAGTACTTAGCATGCATTAATATTAACATCAGCAACGCGGAAAATCTACAGGTAACACATCAGCCAATCAACCAATCAATCAGTCTTATATATATTACAAAGAGTTAACTCACCACAAAATCAACTGGATCCTCTGGTCGTACTTCAGTACATTTCAGTAAAGCTTTTGATAAATCTGGCATAATATATTTCATTAGATAATGACGCATTGGTAGTGAATGCGCTTCAGTGTATTGATAATTCTGTGCATTCAGCAAAGAAAGCCATCTATTCTAAATAATTAGTAAATATGATAAAATTAAAGGTGATTACAATATTCCACATCGTCAAAAATAATACTATTATTACTATTCGGCTGGCTTCCGATTGTAATATGCGGCTTCAGCAAACACGTCTGCACTTTGTTCTCTTATCTCAAATCCACTTTTAACTGCCCCCACGACTGACCATAGCCTGTGATCTCCTCCTCTCAGGATCTCCTCCATGTCAACCTCGGATACACGCCTAACTTTTCGTTTCTCAGTTTAGGTACCAATCGAGCGAAGGCCTCTCCCTCGATTTCAGTGTGTGTTCGATCCATCTCCAACTTCTTCTCACATATTTTTTGAGAAATACGTTCTTGGCTGGTTTGATACCATAGTTTCCTGTTCCAAATTCTTTCCAACTGGTTATTCGATCTTCATTATGGATCTGGAGAAGGCAGCTGTTTAACAAAAGTTTTAGTAGCCTTTGGAAATGCTTTTCGTGACGCGTTCACCACGTTTCTGACCCATATAGACGAATTGGCTGACTTCACATTCGTGTTGAAAATCCGAACCTTGTTCTTTATGCTGAGGTGGAGCGGAGAAGATTTCCAAACCAATTTTGGAGTGATGAAGGTGTATCTTCCCTTTCCGATTCTGACTACCTTTGACATCTTCGTCCGTTGCGCCTGTAGTTGAAAACATGCTTCCTAAATAAGTGAAGCAAGTAACCTCCTTCAGGTTTCTCCCGTGGTTGGTGATTGATGCTGGTTGTTGTTGCTGTTGGTTGATTGGTTTGTTGGTTGGTTATCTTCATCACCCCCTCCGTCTGCTGTATGTCCAGCTGGAGTCCTGTCTTCGCTGCCTACCTCTTCAGTCATTCTGTCGCATTTCGCCTGTAAGTCTTGGAGTTTTTGTGACATTAAACAGAAATCATCCACACGCGAAATCCACACCTTCTAGAGTCTTCTTATCAGTCCTATCTGTTCCTGTCTTTTCCTCCCAACGCTTAGTCTTCCACATAATCCAGTCCACTACAATTAAGAATATCATCGTTGGTGATGGTAGACAGCCTTGTCTAACTCCTCTCTTCACTCCTCTGTGGATCACCCGACATGTATTGTTATCATATAGCTGTTAAATAAAGTTGATAAAGATTAGGGTCGCTGTACTGTGTAGTGTTGAAGTAGTTTCCAAATTGATTCGTAGCCAACATTGTCGAAGGCCTATTCGAATTCGATGAATCCTAAATCCTGCTTATTCTTGAATTAATCAGTGAATTAAATTATTAGAAATCAGTCAAATTAATGAGTCAGTCAGTAAGTAGATTTTAAACCTAAAATAATATATATGTGTGGTGGGGTACGTACATACTACTAATTCATCGACATGAGTAGTTGAAAAGCGCTAGTATCAAACAGAAGTAGTACTTGTTAACCAGAACTAAGTGACCTTAAAATTGGACAATCGTTCCACTCGTTTGTGGCTAGCTGAGCCTATCACAGGTATACCCAGATTAAATTAGCTCAAAGAGCTGAATCAGCTCTAAAAACCAGAATTGTGTAGCAGTTTGCAAGTAACGGATTCGATTCAATAAGTGTGTGGTGATCTAATCCAATAGAAAACAACATCTCTAAGTTGAAATAATATATATATTCAACAAGTAAATATATGGATGGTATATGGATGACGCCTTCATTCTTTGTGATAATTGATTCGGATAGGAGTACAATGATAAGTGAATCCAACCAAGTACATTTGGCTATGAAATTCATATGCGAAGAGGAATCCCAAAACAGAATTGCCTTCCAAGGATGTCCTCCTTACAAGAAAACCAGATGGTAGCATAAAAAGAAATTTGCATAGGAAAAGTACTTGGACAGGACAATATACACATTTTCACAGCTTCGTTCCTCTCAAGTACAAAAGAAATTTAGTAAAGACCCTCACTCGGCCACAGGGTTAGAGCTATATGCTCAGAAGAAGTAATTGAAGATGAATTAAGCATTGTATGTGATACTTTGATTGAAAATAGCTATCCCGAATAATTTATCAAGAAACACATGACAAAGAAAGCAGAAAAAGACTGCTCACTATCCGTAAACAAGAAGCCTCTTTATATAGGACTACAATTCAAGGGCGATAAGCCAAGTGAGCTAATTACGAAGAAATTAAGAAAATCAATTCAAAGAACTTTTAATGCTGGCGAACTACACGTGTTATTCTCTACATGACCGATGGTGTTACCTCGACTGAAAGATGAAGTACCTGGACTAGCTAGCCACTTCTAATGGTATCTACCAATTCAACTGCTTTTGTGGGGCGAGTTATATCGGCTGTTGCTCCAGGAACTTAATTTTTCGTGCTCGCTCGAGAACATCTCCCAGTATGGCTAAGAAAGGGTGTAGTAAGAACCATCTGGTGCAAACCAGCCACAAAGCCAGCCAACATTGAAGAATCCTTCTCTATCATCATCTCCCGTGTGTCAAATAAATTGCCAAAAACATCGAAGCACCGCATGCTACAAACAGCAGAGACTATTGCAAATCGCCTCAAAGAACCAGTGCTCTATGTTCAAAAGAAGCAACTCCAGCCCGTACTGCTGACCTGGCTGGCCTTCAGTAGAGACTATAAATTCATGAATTTGTAATACTATCTTTCCTAATTTTTCTGACATTCAGCTTATGTTATTTATGTTGGTGCTATTGAAAGGTAGTCTATTGATGTTATTGATTCGATGTTATTCAAACAACATTAATGTTGTTCATAACCCTAATTCATTCATTCACTATAATATATGCATATATAACTGTAAAGAAGAGGTCATCGAAAAGAGTACTCTTTGCTCAGTAACCATTCTTTTGAAAAAAAATTTTAATGGGCATTTTTAATCAGTTAAAATATACTACTGTCAGTTACTGTACAGTAAATAACCTCAGTGAGGAATTTAAATGCACAATACATACCATTAATAAGTGTCAGTAGTTAAAAGCCACTCACATCAACCGATATTGCTGGCTTACTATATCTAGATGGTCTAAACGCCGTACAGTGTTGTTCAACTCATTCAGGTCCTAGCTTGTCACCTGCTTGACAGGGTATTTCAGTTAAGTTGTCAGATAAGTCATATACTGTAATGTGCATATTTTGCATTTCCAAAGGGAACTGTGCACTACGAATATCACCAAAAGGATTTGAAATTTTAAGATACTATCGAGGCATCTGTACATGACACTCATACGATACGACGTGTTTATTTCTTAGTCTAACATGATGCACGGCGTGCACTACTGACAAGATTTATCAGTAGTATATGAAAAGAGACGTTCATCGGAACAAAAAAATGTCAAATAGTGAAGAGGTAGACTTGACGTTATTATTATTATTGTTCCCTTGGGTTCCTAGTGGAACATAGGGCTTCAACTGAACGTCTCCACTTGCTTCTGTCTTCTGCTGTACTTTCCACCTGCATCCATGTTACTCCATACTGTCTCAACTCTTCTTCACACGATCTCCTCCATGTCACACTTCGACGTCCCACTCGTCGCTTTCCTTTCGGGTTCCACTCGACCACTGGCCTGACGCGCGGTGTCACCCAGCGGCCTCCTCAGCGAGTGTCAAATCCATCTCCACTTTCTCCTGCATATTTGTTGAGCGATTGGTTCTTGTTTTGTTTCTTCCCATAGTTTGTTTCTTGTTGGTTCTTGTTCTTTCCGGCCATCTGACCTTCAGTATAGAGCCAGCGAAGACAGTTGTTGATGAAGGTCTGCAACAGGCTGTTGGAAATATTCTTTGTGACACACTGGCCAAGTTTCTGATCCGTATAGAAGAACTGACTGACTTGACGTTTGTATTGAAAATCCGAATTTTGTTGTTGATGCAGGCTGAGTGACAGCGGAAGATTTCCAGATTGGTTTCAGGTTGATGAATGTGTTTCTCGCCTTCCCGATTCTCGATTTGACATCGTCGTCCGTTCCTCCTGTATTTGAGACAGTGCTCCCTAGATAAGTGAATGAAGTAACCTCTTTCAAATCCCTCCCGTTGATGGTGATTGGCACTGGATGGTGCTGCTGCTGTTGTTGGTTGGTTATTTTCATAACATCCGTCTTGTCTTTGTTCACCTGGAGTCTTTTCTTTGCTGCTTCTTCGACCAGTTTGTCGGTTTTCGCTTGTAAGTCTTCGATTTTGACGTTAAAGAGAGCAAATGAACCAGCATTGAGGTAAAACTTTGGAGACAAGAAAAGAAGACGAAGAAAGGTAGAATTAACACAACACAGAATATCTACGCAGATAGTCTGTTGAAGATAAGGTGTACATAATTTCGCTACATAGAAGGGTATTGAAACCCAAATAAACATCCTGTTACGTTGCCAAGTCTGTTTTCTTCTACCACCACAGATGTGCTAAAGGAAATGAACATTTGTTAGTCTGGGCTGATAAACCGATGGAAGGCAAAATTCCAAGAGGAGTAGAGAAATCCTTATCAGTATTTATCAACTTGAATCATTGAAATTGAGCAACATTTTGTTATATTGTTACATGGAATGACTTTTAAAAATAGATGAAACGGAAATTTGCTTATTATAGGACTATAGAGTAGTTAATATGTAGTTGGTCCATACAGTGCTGGATGAGCAGTCGACGAAGATTCTCGTGCAGTGCTTTGTACTTTTTATGGGCATTTAAAAGTCAGGAGACAACAGTATCATTAAGAACGCAATCTTCAGCGAAGAGACTCTTTTCAACGAATTTATTATCAAGCTGTACAATCGTATACAATCAGATATGCTCAAAAATCGTCTCTCTAAATCAGTCAGTAAGACGTTCTATGCAGCAAAATTACATACGACGTTCACTAGCTCCCCCATCTGGCCGCCTCCGTGTGCATCTATCAGTTCACCTGCTCTTGTGGAGCAAGGTACATTGGCCGTAGTCAGAGGACGCTTTCCACAAGGATACGAGAACATATTCCAGCATGGTTTTACAAGGGAGAAAGGAAGTGTGTACGAAGCTCTGTTCTGGAACACCTGATCGACTTCTGTCACTCTGTCAACCCTGACCATGATTTTAAGATCATCTACCGAATCCATGCTAGCTCCCCTCGTTTTCTTTGTTACAGACTTCTAAAGACAGAGGAGGCCTTGGCAATTCATGACTTTAAGCCAGACCTTTGTGTACAAAAGGAGTATGTACAATCCCTACTTCTGCCTTGGCCGTAGAGGGATAGACATTTATTTATTTTGTTTATTTAGTTATTCTATGTACTTTTCCCTTATTACTAGAATTATTATTATTATTATCATTATTATTATTATTACTATTCTCACTCTGAATCTTTTCCACTTGACCCACTTGACATTTTAAACCCAAAATTATTCATTTTTATATTTTTATTTTTACAATATTGAATTCTATCTTATCAAATTTCACACCATGTTATGTAACATTTTATATTCGCCTACTAATCCTATAATTATGTACCCCTTTCCAAAATTCTATACACCTTATGTATTATTCTATATACGACATTAATTATTTTGCCACTTGACATTAAACTATGATTATAATCACAAATATTTTAATTGCATTTCATACCACTATTATTATTTCATGTGTTCACGCCTTTGATCTAATTCCCTCACCGGATATAATTTCCTAAAAAACCATATATATACGATTGTACAGCTTGATAATAAATTCGTTGAAAAAAGTCTCTTCGCTGAATATTGTGTTCTTAATGCTACAATGGGAATTATTAAATTATTGCAACAGTATCAGTTGAAGTCGGGTTGAACTGAAAAACCAATAAAAACGCTGAAGAAGCGGTCAGCGAAGATAGGAGTTTAAGTGAACATAGAGAAGACGGAGGAGGTGATGAAGATAACAAACAAGGCAAAACTGACACCTTCATCACTCCGAAATCAGTTTGGAAATCTTCTCTACTCCATCTCACCAGTAAACAACAAGGTTCGGATTTTTAACACAAATGTTGATTCAGTCATTTATGCTACATGGGTCAGAAACTTGTCACAAAAAGTATTTCTAACAGGCTACGGTAGACTGTTATCAACAACTGCCCTATTCGCTAGCTTCATACTGAAAATCAAATGGCAGGCAGGGCAGAAAGAATTGGTCACAAGAAACTACAGGGATAAACTAACAAATAACCTAATGCTGTACAAATATGTAGGAGAAAAATGGAGATGAACTGCGTGCACTCTGAGGAGACTATCGAATGTCATCGCTCAACAGGTTATAGCTCGATTGTAACCCAGATGCGGAGCGACGAGGTGAACCTTTGCCTGAGTGTGACATGATGGACAAGATGAGAGATTATGGGCAATAGTGGGCACAGTCGGAGAGGCCAGTAGAAAATAGAACAAAGTGGAGTTGAAGTGTTGTTGAAGTCCTATATTCCAGTTGGAACCCAAGGGAATAAAAATGTGAAATTATAACTTTCTCCACTTAGATATACGCTGATTCATTCACTCTTCAAGATAACAGAATAAGTAGGCGATTCATTAATTCTCAATAGTTTGCTTTGTAGAGATGAGATTTGTTTATAAGAGTTCGACCACGAATTGCCATCATTCTGAGAACCATTGAAAACCAGCCACAGGGAGTACTGGACAGCTGTTTGATCCTAGTTTTTTGAGAAACATCGATAGTACGCACTCACCACCAAGGTTCGAACCCAGGACCTTCCGGTTACAAGGCAACCTCGTAGACCATTCAGCCACTGGGACTTTCCCGATTCAATGACCAGAGCATGAATTCTATCTGCTACCAACCAATGTCATCGGTGGGAACTCAATCCTCACTCCCAACTGGATGGACCTCACTGGTCACGACTTCTCACTAGAACTCCAGGAAACTCTGTCCAGTAGCAAGTCACTAGCGTGCATCAGATTAATTTTCAAAAGTTTGATTTGTAAGGATTAGCTTTATTTACACGAGGTTTCCCAATTTATCAGAATACAGCAAATTCGGTCAGCCATCAAACGCACATTCTACGCCACATCTCTTTTTCTCCCTTGCTGAACATTTTCGATCCCTGTACCTACGAATAAAGGACTAAATTCTATTGACTCTACTTCAAACTGTATCTACAAGTTCACCTGCAGTTGCGGTGACACCTATATAGGTAGAACAAATAGAATGTTCCAATATGGTCGTCGGAAAGAACATGTTCCAAAATGCTTATTAAAACATATAGAAATCCCAACGCGATTAATCTCAATAGAAATCCAGCATCATCCATTGCTAAACACTGATTAATGTCAGGTCACAAAATCAATATTAATGACTGTTTCACAATTATTTTACATAACTCTAGTTCAACGTTATTGAAGGTGACGGAAGCACTTTGGATTAATCACACACAGCCTAAACTGTGTGTACAAAAATGCAACAGACCTCAATCTTCGCCTACCAGGGACTAGTTGACTTATGTAAATATAATTGGTCATCAGTATGTACTTTTGTTTTTTGTATAACTGAGTATTTGTCATACATTTTATTTTATTATTTTGAACCAACCATGTTAGTTACAAAGCGACTGATTGTAAAGAAACTACGAAATGACGATATCATCTCTCGAAATTTGCCGTCTAAATGCCTTATTCAAATTTTTGTTTATGCTTTGATATGACCACCTTGTACACTTTTCAGACTTAATCCTGCTTACTTGTGGATGAACATTAGGTGAATATTCAGCCAAGAAAAAAAGTGTATTTTGAAAATAAAAAAATTCATTCACTAACCCAATCATCTTGATATTGTTGAAGTAATTTAGCTTCTTCCTTTTCGTCTCGTTCCATTCGACTTTCAGAGAGTTTCATCTTGACAGCTTGTAATTCTTTCAAATTCTTCATAGCTCTTTGTTGCATTTCACATTCACTTGGTTTTGATGATAATAATTTTATAGAAGGTAGATTTGGCGCTTCCTGACGTCCGATCACCTTACGTACTTTTTCAAAACAATCTTCTTGTGGACCATTTGTACCAATCACCTAAATAAAAAGGTACAATCATGCTTGATATATTAGTAAATTACAATTAATAATGATAATAATAATAATATCATTATTATTGTTTCCTTTAATTTTTAGAGCAAAATAGAGCTTAAGCCTCACGTCTCCATTGCATTCGGTTCTCTGCTAACGTTTTCACCTGGCTCCAGCTCCACGTCTACCCATATGCTTTCATCTCCTCTTCGCCGCTTCCCATTAGGTATCCACTCGAGCGATGGCCTGGCGTGTGATGTCACTCAATTGATGGTTTTCTCAGAGTATGACCAGACAATCCACCTCCATTTTTCCCTGCATATTTCTTGAACAAACGGTCCCTACTCAGTTGGTTCGCTCCCAGAGATCCCTGTGGCTGATCTTTTCTGGCCATCTGATCTTGAGTAGTTTTGAGCGAAGACAGCTGTTGACGGAGGTCTGTATCTTGTTCGAAGTGCCCTTCGTGACGCGGCGCCAAGTCTCTGATTCGTATAGTAGCACTGACTGCACATTCGAGTTGAAAATCCGGATGTTATTTTTCATGCTGAGTGCTGTTGACCTCCACACAGACTTGAGACAAATGAAAGCTTGTCTTGCTTTGCCTGTGATCCTCGCTTTGATATCCCCATCAGTTCCATCCGCCTGTAGTTGGAACGACGATGCTTCGCAGGTTAGTAGGTAGGTAGGTAGATAAAGGATGTTGCTTCTTCCAGATTCCTCCCATTTATGCTGGCTGGTTGTTGTCTGTTGTAGTTGCTATTGCTGTTGGCCAGGGATCTCCATCACCTACCTCTGTTTTCTCCATGTTTACCTGAAGGAAGTCCTATTTTCTCTGGATGCTTCTTCTGACAACTTGTTGCTTTCCACTAGTATATCTTCCAGTTTGTGGGAAATCAGACATAGATATATCATCAGCGAAGTCGAGATTCCCCAAGTGTTTTGTGTGGATCCTTTTTATGCCTGTCTCCTCGTTGCACACTGTCTGTTTGTCGCATTATCCAGTCTACCACCTACAATCAGGAAAATCATTGGAGATAGTAGGCAGCCAGCTTGTCTTACTCCCATCTTCACTTCGAAGGATTCCATGAGTTTCCCGTTGTGGATTATTTGGCATGCAGCATTGTCGTACAACTGTTGGATGAGGTGTATAAATGTTAGCAGCAACCCGTAGTAGCGAATTAGTTTCCAAATTATCTCTCGATCGATGCTGTCAAAGGCCTTTTTAAAGTCAATGAAGTTGAGATACAGAGCTGACTGCCATTCCAAGCTCTGTTCAATGATGATGATCCGTAGTGTTCCGATTTGATCAATGCATGACTTGTTCCTCATGAATCCAGCCTGTTCCAGTCGAAGTTTTTCATCCAGGGCGGCGTGTTTGATTCTCTCCAGGATGATGCGGCTTAGTATTTTACTTGGGATGGACAGGAGCATAATGCCACGATAGTTCTTGCATTGACTTAAGTCTCCTTTCTTTGGCAGTTTGAATAAGTAGCCTTTCTTCTAATCCGCAGGTACCTTACCCTCTTTCCACACCTTCTCTAATAATGGTGTCATCAAGTACACTGATGTCTCGGGATAATAATAATTAATAAAATTTAAAAATTCATACAAACAATATGGACAGATTATTCATTGTGAAACACTGAATCAAAATATTCATTTAATGAACAACCTTGTTTACTTCTGATTTTACTTTAGATATAATCTTGAAAAAGGCTATATTATGGCCAAGCTATATCAACATATTATATATATATATATATATATCATGAGCTAACATCACTTAGAGAACCATTGGAAAACCAGCAGTGGAGTACTGGACAGCTTAACTCAGGACCTTCTGGTTACAAGGCTAGCGAGCTCGTACACCATTCAGTAGCCAATGGGACCCAACCCGATACAATGGCCAGTCAGTCCATGAATTCTAACTTCTGCCAATCCATGACATAGCGCGACCATTTCGCAATGTCTTCTTCGATGAGTTACTACCTCACCTTCAACCTGATGTACCCTACTGGTCACGGCTTCCCACCAGAACCCCAGGTAACTACCTACCTGAATAGAGCCAATCGCTAATGGGTGGGTGCGTACTAATGAAGAGTCCCAAACTAGGGCGAAACAGCTGTCCAGTACTCCCAGATTTTCCAGTGGTTCTCTAACTGATGTCAGCTCATGATGAAATCCTCCATGCAATTAAAAACACAATCAATCCCTACAAAACCATTACTTGAAAAATTTAATTTGAGTCATTAAAATCCACAAAACTAAATAAGGTTGCCCAATTTGTTGTCTGTACATTAAACAGTTTGAAGTGAAAATTCACCACCTTTACCTTCGGAGATTAAAATTATTCCGATCACATGCAACATCTGGTTGGCTTGTGATATCATAAACTGCTACTAAGGAATCAAGCATAATTGGATGACTGGGTATTATTACTGACTGGTATGAATAGTTTGATTTGGCCCAGACATTTTTTATTTTTTAATTTTTTATTTTGATTACAGCTTGATGCCACACCATATTTTCAGTACAAGTATGGAATTTTCAGCATGGATATCGGTAGCCTAAATTTTGCAGGCCAACCATAGATATCGGGGGTGCGTCGGCAGGGGATCGAACCCCGGACCATGTGCATGGTCGGCGAGAATCCTAACCACTGTGCCACCGACGCATTTTTCTGAGCTGAGTCTAATCGAGATACATTGCTGATCAACTCAGCTTCGGTGTTTGAATCACTTCGTTTTATGGCTGAAAAACACTGCTGTTTGGCGTGTGTGTGTCTGCCTTAAAGGTACTTACTCATTTTACGAAAACTTTTATCCCATAGTGATTTTGCAGGTTTGAATACCACATTACCGCAAGTTTTATCAAGGTTTCAGCTCAGAGTTACTGATATTCTTTCTGCAGAGTCTTCTAAACTTCCTCTTAATTACGCTGCAATCAGCGTTTAAGCTAGTAACTCTTTCAGACATTTACTTATTTGAACCTTGTGATTAATAATTCAGTCTTCTGTTTACACTTATTCAATTCAGTTTCGATTTTAGATTTCGACTGATTGGACCGAAGCGCTCGGTCTCAGGTTGACATGTCTGTTGGCTTTTCGTGCAGATGTCTAAGCAAGTAATTAGAAGTTAATTGGTGGATGGTGACTAGCGTTGGAATCCACTAGGATGCGCATTTCATCCCGTTTGGGAGTCGTCAACTGGATGTACCTGCACTTCCAAGTCAGTGATTGTTGATGTTCCCACTGAGACTCGAACCCAGTGCCTTGAACTAATTAAATAATCAGGCAAATACCTCTGGTGACTATATTTGATATAAGCATACATTAAAAGAAGCAAAAACGAAAAGACAGGGATATCCTGGACCGACGTGAAGAACCTAGAAGACCTGGATTTCGCGCGTGGATGATTTATGTTTGATGTCACACAAAATCGAAGACCTACAAGAGAAAACCGACAAACTCGTCGAAGGAGCAGCAAAGACAGGAATCCAGGTGAACATAAACAAGACGGAGGTTATGAAAATAACCAACCAACAACAACAACAGCAGCAGCAACATCCACCGCCAATCACCATCAATGGGAGGGATTTGAAAAAGGTTACTTCATTCACTTATCTAGGGAACATTGTCTCAACTACAGGAGGAACGGACGAGGATGTCAAATCGAGCGAGAATCGGGAAGGCGAGAAACACATTCATCAACCTGAAACCAATCTGGAAATCTTCGTCACTCAACTCAGCATCAACAACAAAATTCTGATTTTCAATACAAACGTTGAGTCAGTCAGTTCTTCTATACGGATCAGAAACATGGCGGGTCACCAAGAATATTTCCAACAGCCTGTTGCAGACCTTTATCAACAGCTGTCTTCATTCTATACTCAAGATCAGATGGCTGGAATGAATCACCAACAAGAAACTATGGGAACAAACAAAACAAGAACCAATCACCCAACAAATATGCAGGAGAAAGTGGAGATGGAATGGACACTCACTGGCTGAGGAGACCGCTGGGTGACACCGCGCGTCAGGCCATAGCTCGAGTGGAACCCGAAAGGGAAGTGGCGAGTGGGACGTCGAAGGGTGACATGGAGGAGATCGTGTGAAGAGGAGTTGAAACAGTATGGACTAACATGGATGCAGGTGAAAAGTACAGCACAAGACAGAAGCAAGTGCAGACGTGTAGTTGAAGCCCTATGTTCCACTAGGAACCCAAGGGAACAATAATAATAATAAAACAAGTAATATACACTTACTGAACTGAAATCTTTATCCATGTCAATAACAACTGGATGAATTTCTCTGATATCAAAATACGTCATCACATTCTCTTCGGTATCATCTGGAGTCTCAGGAATCGGTGGAATGTGGGCAAGCCTTAATTCTTCTAAAGTTGATTCAGTTTTTGTATGTTCTTCTTCTTCGCCAACGTCTTCACCTTTTTCACTATCACGTTCTCCTTCTTCCTTCGCTTTTTCGCTTGGTAATGCATCATTTACTCCCTCTTTTGTTTTTTCATGTTCATCATCTCTTTCTTGACCACCGCCGCCGTCAATTCCATCTTCAACTGTAGCTTCTTCTGCTGCCAATACTCTAAGTAGTTCTTTTTGAGCTTTACGCAGCTCCCTGCGTTCTTCTTTTTTTTCTTCATGAACTGAATTAATTTATAAGAGAATTATATAATTATAAACCTGAATACTTAATATTATTATAGTAATCTGCCAGTATCAACTATAATTTATATAAGCAATCAGCGTTGGTGATTGTTGTATGCATTGTGTTACTGAAGTTTGACTTTTATCCAATGGCTAATCACAACCTCGTCGGTGGCACAGCGGTAGAATGCTCGCCAACCACGCCTTATGTGGTTTGGGGTTCGATCCCCGGCCATGGACGCACTCCGAAACCTCGATAAGCCAGTAGTATGACTGGTAAAGAGGGAAGGTTGGGAGTGAGGTTAGCAACCTCATCCCGTAAAAATAAACACCACTGCTGCTACCGAAACTTCAAGCCTCTAGCTTAAAGGCCCCCCTGTATGTTCCACTGGGAATGTAAGGGAATAAAAAAATCACAACCTCACCAGAAATCTAGCCAATAACTGCCACATTATTGAAGGCACACATTGCAGTTCAACCATTTGGTAGGCATACAGTGGTCGGATATGTGAACAGATGCTTATTGATAGCACTGGTTAACAATACCTTCTTATATCATGAAATGAAAAAATAAGCAGGATTGAATTTCAGCCGAATTAGTCAATGTTATCCGGCTCATGCCATGAGTTGATGATCCTGAGTTCAATCTTTCTCGCAGAGGTTAGTTTATATCAAACTAGAAAGAAACAGCTCATCAAAGTCCAAGAATCTGTATGCTTTTCAAGGAGACATCTTTTCCTGGAATTCATCAACTAAAAGCCACACGACTTGAATTCGTACTGCTTATTTTATTGGTATATATACAGAGAAAGACTTTTTTTCAAAGTAAATTTGTACAAGTTAATTATCTGGTATTTTAAAAAGATTGCCTGATGGAAGCTGTAAATTTTGTCTATAACAAGCCTATGATGAACTTTTATTGGTATAGGAAAATTGTGCAAAATAAAGTATTATGAATAGCCTAAAACATCCTCAAAATGTTTCTACACTTCCTTACTTGGCCGGCTGAAAGCAGCAGTGAAAGAGTGCTTCAAAACCACCCCCTGTTTTGCGTTCGGGAGTAAAAGATAAACTGCCTAATTTCTACTCTTCTATGTGTATCTACCAATCTAACTGCTCCGATGGAGCCAGTTACATAGGCCGTACAATTAGGCGTGTTTCTCGTCGAATTTCCGAGCATCACCCTATGCGGTTAAATCAAGTAAAGAACAAACAAAATCCATTCACATAGCGCTATTCTATCTCATCTTGTGGATACAGAACACAAGATTGATGTCACCGAGGCTTTCAAAGTAATCTACCGCATTTAAAATAGCCTTAACTTCACCTTAAGAGTTCGTCTACTTAATATTGCTGAGGCCGTTGGGATCCACATTAAGAAGCCTAATTTGTGCATCCAAAAGAAGCTGGTTCAGACATTGTCCTTACCTTGGCCATCTAGGTTTGAATGATCCTGAATTTTTGTGGAATTTTACTAATTTTTGTTGATATTCTATTTGCTGTTATATTTTTATCATTATTATTATTATAATTTAAGCATCTTGAATGAACAGTAATTCCACTGTGATCTTACTTTACAAATCGATATTATTTAAAATACACTAATATTGTTACTGACTACTAATCTAGAATATTCTGTGTATATAAACACACATGTATATAATTGTCGAGCCAGAAGAGGAAGAAATTATCGAAGAGGATATTCTTTGCTCAATTATTGTTTGTTTTTGTTTTTTTCTTGAATTGAGACGATAACTTGGCTTGACCACTCCCACCTCTTTCCAAAGCTGAAACCCCAGGTCAGCTAACATTCTCGGAGGAGCAAGGCGATGTCTCAGCATGTTTAACGCGTGTCCAAGCCATCTCAGTTGTGATAACTTCACAACCCCATACAATTGACTTTTCTTCCCTACATATAACACTACACGCATAATCTCCTTATCTCTGAACAAAAATTATACCACTCGGCATAGGAAACTGTAAGCAGACAATTATAAGCAAAAACGCCTAAAAAATGTGTCCAATTAAAACAATATTTCTGTTGTGTCAAGATGTGAGAGAAAACATACATTTCTAATTTAACCTTGATTTTGAAATCTTACTATGGAATAACTTCTTGTATTAGCGTTTCACCAACATCTTATATGTAGGTATACAAGCAATCCTTTGAATTTTATAATTCTCACCTCCGATGCTTTTATGTTTAAATCTCTATAAAATTATCGACCGACATGACTCTTTTACACTTCACACTTGGTACCCAGCTTCAGTATTACATATTGTACCAGATCGTAGCATTACTACTATTATTAGTGTTTCTTTTAGTTCCTAGAGGAATACAGGGCTTCAGCCACACGTCTCTATTGCATTCGGTTCTCCGCCAACATTTTCACCTGGCTCCACGTCTGCCCACATGCTTTCATCTCCTCTCCACATGACCTCTTCCATGTCACCCTCGCACCGACAACCAACTAACTCGCCGCTTCCCATTCCCCTTCCACTCGAGTGTGATGTCACTTGATGGTTTGTCTTTTCAGAGTATGACCAGCCAATCCACTTCCATTTCTTACTGCATATTTCTTCCACAGTTGGTTCCTGCTGAGTTGGTTCGCTCCCAGACATCCTTCACTATTGCTGATCTTTTCCGGCCGGCCATCTGGTCTTCAGTAGTATTAGGCAAAGAAAGCTATTGATAAAGATCCATAGTTTGTTCGAAGTGGTCTTCGTGACGCGCCTAGTCTCTGATCCGTATAGTGAGTAGCACTGACTTCACATTGGAGTTGAAAATATGCATCTTGTTCTTCATGCTGACTGCTGCTGACCTCCACACAGACTTGAGAGATGAAAGCTTGTCTTGCTTTACCCGTGATCCTCGCTTTGATATTCTCATCAGTTCTATCCGCCTGTAGTTGAAACGCTGTTTCGCAGGTAGGTAGGTAGCTAGGTATGTGTGTAGGTAGGTAGGTAGGTAAATGAGGTTGCTTCTTTCAGATTCCTCCCATTCATGCTGACTGATTGCTGTCTCTTGTTGTTGGTGGTGTTGTGTTGGCCAGGAATCTTCATCACCTACCTGTGCTTTCTCCATGTTCACCTGAAGGAAGTCCTATCTTCCCTGGATGCTTCTACTGCCAACTTGTTGCTCTCCACTTGCATATCTTACAGACTTATATCGTCGGCGAAGTCCAGATGCCCCAAGTGTTTTGTGCGAGTCCATTCTATGCCCGTCTTTTCGTTGCCCACTGTCTGTCTGTCTGTCGCATTACCCAGTCTACCGCCTACAATCAGGAAAATCATTGGAGACAGTAGGCAGCTAGCCAGCCTTATCTTACTCCCGTCTTCACTTCTTCGAAGGAATCCCTGAGTTTCCCGCTGTGGATTCCTTGGTATGTATAATATGATGCATAACTGTGGGCGGCACCCTGTAATAGCGAAGTAGTTGCCAAATCACCTCTCAATCGACGCTGTCTATTGTAGCATAACAGCAAAAAATTAAAGGGGCAATTTTTGAAATGTGTGTGTAATCCAACAGCTTCAGTTTACTATCGAATAGGCTACTGTATAATATCCTCATTTATCAATAACTCTTAGCTTACAGCACACAAGCTATCCACCAGCAAGTTGGTTAAATCTCTAAGGATAATCAAAAAACAATAACAACAACAACAAAAGGAGAACAATTAATTCTTAACCTCTTTATAAATATATCACTTTTCTTACGTAAGTTAGCCTCATCAATTAGTGCTGCACGAAAAGCTGCAGCAGCAGGTGCCATTGCAGCACGATAAGCTTCTAGACGTCGTTCATGTCTATGCTTCTGTGTCTCTAAGTGTTTCAACACTGTCATCTCTTCACCTGGTGCATTTTCATCTGTATTCTCCAAGTGTTCTGATCCCTTTTCTGGTTCATTCTCGACATTTACACTTGGTTTCATCTTATCGGCATCTTGAGACATGTATTTATCACCCAGTAAACAAGCTTTCCATAATGGTGGGATTACTAAAGCTTGCTCAGGATTGAGACCAGCCTCTGTTGATTGTCTGTTGAATCGATGACGTACTAATTCATTACTACCCATCAAATAAATTACATAATCAGGTGTGATCAATCGATGAGATGATGGAAATTTCTCATTGCCAAGAATATCTTCATCTTCTGGGTCAGCTGTAATAGAAAGAAAAACAGTAATTTTCAATAAGATTTTAATAGAGAATACAAAAATCATCGTCATTAGTATCAATGCTTGTTCACCTCAATAATGTTATGATGATAATAATAATAATAATCATTTAAATAACTTTATATCGGTTTCCATGACATCACCATAAACCAATACATGAATTGCATACCTTAGGAAAGATGGATATACTTAAAGCAATAAATATGCCTGTTATGGCAAGTTCTAAACTGCACTCAAGCACTTCTTAACTTTAGGTTATCCCGTTAGCATGGTTGGTGTTGAGAAAATTGTCATGAGAAAGGTTTTATTTTGATAAATCACACACAGTGTTTGTTATACAGTAATATTAACTGATGACCACGTTTTGAGCATAAACTATTGCTGTTCATAATCATATCATATGATCATGAGTGGGATAAGATGACAGTTTTAAAATCTAATGTCACAGGGTGGAGGGAGTTAGAAATTGATAACGGAAGCTTTGTTTATCGAATCAACTGCAAACACGAATAATAGGAATGATTCAACACCTGTCTCCTCAGGTATCTGGAAAATTCTACTACCCCAACGACGACAAATAGAGGAGAACAAAGAGAACTATAAAAGTCAAATTTCGAAGTTGTGTGATTATAACTGATGATTTGATTATAAACAATAAATTGTGTTCGAAACCTTATCTCACAGCACTGGTCGTCTGCTCCACATTACTCCACCACTTCTGTTAAGTAACTACCACCTGCTGTGTCAATTTAACCAGACCCCAGTGTTGCTAATTCATGTAAGAAGTACTAAGAGATATGCTGAGGTTATTTAGTCTAATTTTAATTCAACTCGTGAGTCGGTGGCACAGTGGTAGAATGCTCGCCAACCACGTCTCGAATGGTTCGGAGTTCAATTCCCAGTCATGTACGCACTCCAAGTCGCTAAGCTAGGAATAAGATTGGTAAAGAGGGAAGGTTGGGCGTGAGGTTAGCAACTTCATCCCGTAAAAATAAACACGACTGCTGCTACCGAAACTTCAAGCCTCTAGCTCGAAGCCCCCTATGTTCCACTTGGAATGCAAAGGAATAAAAAAAATTCAACTCACGTCTGAATAAAGCTTCAGCTTGTTCAAGTGTCTTCGGAAATCCATCTAACACATATCCTTGATTTTGACATGGTTTTGACATGAGCTTTTGAATAAGCAGTCTATAGTTTAATAATAGTAACCATAAATTGAAATTAATTAAGTAAATATGTTATACTACTCATCTTGTTTCAGTAGTCATTGCCGGTCATTCAAAATGTCGAATAGCTGTAACTTAAACTGCGAAACGTTCAGAAAAATCTTGTTTTGTTTTTTTTAACGCGCAGGGTTTATTCTAGATGATTTTAATATGATTCACTTTGACGCGGCACTGAAATTATTTTAGGAAATTCGTAAAATCTGTGGTCTTAGTATTTATAACTCTAGCACTAGTTAATTATATTATTATTATTATCGTTCCGTTAGGTTCCTAATGCAACATAGGGATTCAAAAACACATCTCCATTTTGTTCCATTTTCTACTGTCCTCTTTAGCTTTTCCCATGACTGCCTCTAGTGTCTCATCTCCTCCATGCCACCCTCGCATTGATGACCCACTCCTCGTTTGCCTCATTGGTTTAAAACAGTAAATTTTACAAAGCGGATGCTGGAACTGAAATGTCAAGATGGTGACTTAACCTTTTTTACACACTCTCTCTGATGTGTTTCTCTCTTTGTTTTTCACCCACCCCCCCAAGTCGATCCAGGGAAATCACCCTCAGAAAGGTTATACACATAGGTGTCAAGCTTACGATAAACACCCAATTAAGATGAGCACGTATAAGCTAGAACTTCCATCCCGACGACAGGCTGCCATATTGATACTACAACTTAGAAGTACTCACTCCATAAAGTCGGTTTCAGAAAGTCCTGCTTACATTCAACTGTCTTCATTCATACAGAACGTCAGTATTAAAACTACTATTTCAATTATGATAGAACATTGTCTGTTGATTAGCTAATTCACTACATCTTTTTAAGAAGAAATACTAAAATAAGTTATATTATAGAATTACGAAAATTGTGTTAGAGGAATTAACAATTTAGTCGTCGATTAATCGAGTGTAGTTACAACTGACTTTCAGTCAGGTGAGTACTCTTAACACTAGTTAAGATTATCTCAAGGACTTAATTTAATCAGTTATGATGTTTATGCTGTTCTGTACTACTAAAACAGGAAAGTATTAACCTCCTGTAGGATTAGGTACACAGTAAACACTTGATCATAATGTAATAAGCATCAGAAGCAGATGACAGATGAGTTAATTCACGGTTATTGTCAAACAAATGCACACACTGTTTGTGATGATATTAGATGGTTGGACGCAATCGGCAGGAAGCCTTGGACCTAGGTTTCGTGCTAGTTGGCACTCTTTAGCAAGGCGTATCTGCAACCTTGAAGGAACTCATGTCCCTTCTGAGATTCGAACCTGCATCACCCAGTGCTGCAGTCAGAGACGTTACCACTGAGCTATTCGGGCTCGCCTCCAACCATCTAATATCATCACAAACAATGTACACCGTGATGGCGAGCTACCTAGAATGGTGGCCACATTACAACTTGACTGATAGAATTCAGTCTGCACCAAATAGAGGACTAGACGCATCACACTAGTTACTAGTGTCAAATCAAAATGCACACACTCACAGCTTCAAATTCAGTCTTCTGTAAACTTATCTCAATAATTCATCGATATAAGGGATAATCAATATAATAACTACGATAATACTTTAAATCATATATATATATATATATATATATATATATATATATATATAGAGAGAGAGAGAGAGAGAGAGGGAGAGACAAATGCTATAAGTATAATTTACCTAACCCCGACCGATAACTGCTACCTTGCCGTGGTGGTCGGGCTTGAATGCCGCAGTGACCCAACAAGCTAAACTGGCTAGGACTCATGTCCCTGCAGGTCCTACCATGCCAGGAAGGTTGTTTGGATAGCGGTTAGACTAAAAGCAGTTACCATGGGGTACATGGGCTCCAGAATTCAATCGGATCAAATGGCGTATGAACCCATATGGGTCACCGGCAACCATGGGAACGCAGCTCCTGACGCTGCTCCGCTGCCTTGCGGATTAGACTCCAAGTCAAAGGCTTGGGGGTTGGTCCCTTAGGAAAACCACCTTCTTCGGTCTGGGCGCCTGGGCAGTATCTCAGCCCTCACACAATATTGTGTGGCGCATCTTTCTTGGTGCCATATTGTACCAAGTTTTTCTGCGTTTAAATAATAAAAATAATAATTTACCTAACCAATGTTTCGTCGTTCAGTTTACCAGTTTCATCAGTATTCTCTCTTAATTGTTCTAAGCGTTCTTGACAATCATTAACTAACAATTCAAGTTCATCTTCTGAATTCCATATTGGTAGTGGACTGATTGGATAATATTCTAAATCGGCCAATGTTTCTCCAACACTTGACTTTCTTATCGAAGTAATTTCATCTATAAGTAGAGGGAAAGAGAAAGGAGAAAAGATTGTTTGTAATTTTTTGTTAAAAAAAAAACATAAGAGAAACAGACCTGGAAATTCATTTTTAGGTAAGTGAAAGAGTTCCATAGAAGCAAGATGTAAAACTTTATAAAATTGGTATACAACCAAAATGTACATGTTGAGTTAGCGCTGAAAATGTTGCCTAGATAGACAATAAGAGGTTCAAAGTTAAACCATTCAGCTCAGGGGACACAACAACAACAATGAATAACTCCACCTGAACAACAAATCCTCTCCGCTAAATCAAAACACTGATCTACAATGTACTTAGACAGTTAATAAACACTTCAGATAGGAAATCCCTAATAACCAATTATTCAGTTTGTAATTCTGTTGCCTAATTTGATCGTGTAACTCTACTCTGGTACCTTTTTCATAATCTTGATCCATATAATTGAAAGTAGCTCTTCTGTGACTAAATCTTCCTAGTGGGGCATAAGAATGACCTACTCATATTTTTCAGTAGTGCTGTTACGGCACAATACGGCAATACTGGGCAGTAGAAATGTTTATTTGTTAAATGATGTAGTTATGGCAAAATATATAAATCATACATAGATACCACGGTCAAATGACCTTGAATCAACCAATCAGACCGTTCAGTATTACAAATGGATGCTTTTGAAAATCTTCGTTGAAAGTCTCGCCCTAACCTAAATCATAACGTGGCTTAATCTTATCCTAACCTTAGCTCTAAATCAGGGTGTAGTTGGCAACGAAAATTATGAAAAGCATTCGATTTGCTACTACGGGGTACCGTCAACAATTATACACCTCATCGAACAATTATAAGACAATGCTGCATGTCAAGTAATCCACAAAGGGAAACTCACGGAATCCTTCGAAGAAGTGAAGACGGGAGTAAGACAATCTGGCTGCCTGCCTACTGTCTCCAGTGATCTTCCTGATTGTAGGCAGTAGACTGAGTAATGCGACAGACAGTGGGGAACAAGGAGACAGGTGTAACATGGACCTACACAAAATACTTGGGGGATGTGGGCTTCGCCGACTATATACGTCTGTAAGATATGTAAGTGGAGAGCAACAAGTCGGCAGAAGAAGCATCCACAGAAGATAGGACTTCCTTCAGGTGAACATGGAGAAAGCAGAGGTAGGTGATGCGGATTCCTGGCCAACACAGCACCAACAACAACAGACAACAATCAGTCAGCATGAATGAGAGGAATCTGAAAGAAGCAACCTCATTTACCTACCAACCTGGGAAGCATCGTCGTTTCAACTACAGGTGGACGAAACTGATGAGGATTTCAAAGCTAGGATCATCGAGAAAGCAAGGTAAGCTTTCGTTACTCTCAAGTCTGTGTGGAGATCAACAGTATTCAACATGAAAAATAACATCAGCATTTTCAACTACAATGTGCAGTCAGTGCTACTATACGAATCAGAGACTTGGCGCAGCGCCGCGTCACAAAGGGCACTTCGAACAAACTTCATACCTTCATCAACAGCTGTCTTCGCTCAATACTAATCAAGACCAAATGGCCAGAGAAGATCAGCAACAGGGATCTCTGGGAGCAAACCAACTGTGCAACAAATATACAGGAAGAAATGGAGGTGGATTGGCTGGTCATACTCTGAGAAAACCACCATCAAGCGACATCACACGCCAGGCCTTCATTCGGGTTCCACCCGAATGGGAAGCGGAGAGTTGGTCGTCAGTGGGAAGGTGACACGAGGAGGATGTCATGTTCCTCTAGAAAATAAAGGAGACAATAGTGTTAATAATCCACTTGTAATGCTGAGCGATATGATTGACTAGTTCAAGGTCATTTGACTTTGGTATCTATTCTTTACTGTTGCCGAAATCTCCAGCTGCACATCACTTTCGTATGTGCCGCTTTTATCATCGTTTCATACTTTCTATACTGTTTCACTCAAGGATCTTCCATTTCTCCTCTTCACCACTTAATCTATCCCTCCGTTACTCAATATTCTTTCAGATAAAAATGCACACAATATACTACTTACACTAGAATACACCACAATACAGTAATAGTTTGTTTTAAAAACACATGCAGAAATTTGTATACTCACCTCCAGTCAACGTATTTTTATCATCATCATAATCATAACTATCCGCTGTTGTATTCACTGGATGAGAAACTTTGGTCGACCAGTTTAAAGTTGACGTGAAGTCCAAGGCTGTAGTACCTCCAGTCGCTAATGCTTTAGTTTCATTTCCACCTAAAGATGAAGGACTAATCCCAGAATTTCTATGTGGTAAAATTTTCTCAGTTGATTCAATATCAGCATCAGAGACTAATTCAGTTACTAAACGCTCTTCTTCACGAATTGCTAATAAATGTTCATAAGCTTTGATTGGTTCAAGCTTGTTTAATAAGCGATAAAATTAATTAGAAAATAGTAAAAATTAAGTGAGAAATGAGGAATAATATTAACAACACTGGGTACTTCCATATTAGTTAGTTTATTAAATGTATCACACAGTGAAACAGTATTATTGTTTACTGGATAACGTTTCGAACAAAATTTATTCTTCATAATCATATCAGTTATAATCACACGACTTCGAAACTTGACTTTTATAGTTTTCTTTGTTCTCTCCTATTTGTCGTCGTTAAGGTAGTAGAATTTTCCAGATGTCTGGACGGACAGGTGTTGAATCATTCCTATTACACGTGTTTGCAGTTGGTTCGATAAACAAAGCCTCGGTCAGTTATCAATCTCTCCCTCCACCATGTTACCTTAGATTCCAAAAGAATGTCATCTCATCATCCCATCATCTTATTGTATGGTTGTATGTAACTGCACGTAGTGCTATCTACGGCTGAACTACTCTCCAGATTTCTTATCTTATTCGAGTCAACTAATTTAGATTTTGCTGATAGGTTTTTATGCTCGGCTAGTCTAACTGCACCTGTTCTACTACTTTGACCTGACGATCATTGCGGGCAGGGTATTAGACAAACTAAATAGTTTTGTTTTAAAGCCTTCACAGGATTGATCGTTTAACCGACAAAGCATGTTTCTAATTGAGTTTGAGGGTGGTTTGAATGCCAGCCACTTTTATTCCTGCCTTGTTAAGAATTCTGGGTAAGGTTTTCGAGGTTCCTTCCTTGTATGGAATTATTACTGATGATTTAGATTCCTTATTGTTAGTTTTGTCTTGCGCATGTTTGACATGCATGTCGTCATTATTATTATTATTAATATCAATATTTGTTTTATTTTCATTTTTACATTTCCCATACGTACTTTCTGACTAATTTATAAGGGTAATTATTAAGTCTCAAGGCTTCTCTACTATGTTTCACTTCCTGTCTTAGATTTTCCTTGGTACTACTTAGTTTTTGTGCTCTATCACTTAAACATTTCACCAATCCTATTTTTACTGACATAGGATGGGATGATCGGAAGTTCAAATATCTGTTTGAATGTGTGTGTTTTCTGTAAACACTAGTGTTTAACTTTCCATTTTACGCTGCAATCTAACATTGGAAGCTTCCCTTCCTGAATTTCAAAATTCATAAGTGAATTGAATTGACTCCACCTTTGAGTTAATGTGTTTGAAAAATCTATCTATATCCTGTGTTCTAGGTACAATGAATGTGTCATCTACATACCTCCACCATACTTTTGGGGTGGGGCTGAACATTTCAATCTCTATGTTTTCCTACCTATCCATGAATATATCTGCTACAATCGGGGATATTGGTGATGGCAA